CCCCCCCTTTTTTTTTTTTTTTTAGCAGGAAGGAGGAGTTCTGCCCTGAACTTAAAGGCATAAAAAGTACTAACCACAGTCCTGGGAGAGGAGACTATTCAAGTATGGGAAACTGATCCTCTTCAGTTCATCAAGCTTCTCTTTCAGCTTTCTGACCTGACTGTCAGAGCGGCTGATTCTCTGCCTCAGCAGCTTCAGTTCTCCATTTTTCTTCTCTACCTGCTCACGCAGGCAGCACACTTGACTTTTGCTTTGCCTAGAGGAGAAACAGTATGAATGGAGGGAGTCTATGAGCTTGCATGCTCCTGAGGCGGACATAATGACCTCATTGATTGACATGGGGTTGGCATCTGTGTCTCCTTTCTGACCTACCACAGCCTCTGTTGCCGGCTGTGGGGTAAGGTCTGCAGGGGATGCTGACAGACTTTGGGATGGCTTCTGAGGGGTCACTGTAAGTGATGAATTAGGGGAACTTTCTGCCAAGTTCTTATCATGCCTCATGATATTGCTACTGCAGCTTGGCTCCACATCTCGCTTTGGCCTTTTCCTCTCAAGTTGCTCCCTAGGGAATGATGGCCTCTCCCTGGTGTGCTTAGAGGAAAAGCTGTAAGAGTGGAGGGAGCCAATAAATTTGCAAGCCCCAGATACTGGAGGTGTGAAGTCATCAATCGATATACCACTTCTATCTGTTATCCAGCTGCCGGTATGGATGGTGGCTTCAGGACACTCCTCTTCAGGAAGTCCTTCTGGCTTTTTCTGGGTTCCTGTCTTTGAAACCAAGTTGTCAGCTAACGTCCTTCTCAGAGGCCCTTCCAACTGGCCCTGAATATTCTCTTCCTGCTCAGGCACTGACCCAATTTCAGCTTGCAGAGTCACTTGCTCCATCTCTTGCATTATCATAAAGTCTTGGTTGGTAGATAAGGTTCTTTGTACTACCTCACAGCCTCCTTGCCTTGTTTGTTCTCCATCGCTCAGTGGTACCTGGATTGCTATTTTTCTTCTACATTTGACATAGTCCTGGTTGTCACCTTTCTTCTCAGTGAGCTGAAAGATGGTTGGCACAGCTGTAGGCTTGAGTAACCTGTGCTGATCCTCCAGCCGTTTGGAAAAACTATCTTTGGTGAAGTGCTCACTGCAGAGAAAAGAGTACTTGGTAGGAGTCCAGTTGTCCCTCTGAACTGCTTTTAACCACTGGATCAGGCGTTTTGAGTCTTTCAGGGGGAACCTGCAAAACAGTAATCACATATTTCTGAAATCAAAGGAGGAAAATGGTCAGTAGGCCTCAAGTTCAGGAAAATAAACTTCTCTAGAAAGCAGGAATGTATTGGTTATGCCTGGCTGGTGATGACTGATTACTTTGCCCTGAAACTTTCACTATGCATTTCCCTCTGCTGGCAATGAAAGTCCGCAGGGAGGGCAGAACCAGTTAGCTTTGTGCTTGCCTGTCAATTAAAATCAGTTAGCAAGCAAAAGACCACTCTATTGTTTGGTTACGCCAGCCAAAGTACATGATGCTACTTGCAGGTTAGGCAGGATGAGATACTGTGAAGTGTAAAGTCTTCTGCCCTGCTCAGCTCTTTCAACCATTAGCCTTAATCAGAACAATAAAAACCCAACTGCACCCTTCAAGGGCTAATTGGCATTTATTCCGTGCAATGAAAGGATGTTAAACAAGATATAAAATATCCTGAATTCAGGTCTCAATACCAAGAAAGTGCAGGGTTTCCACACACACTTTTTCTTAGCATTGTCACAAATGCTCATTTTAGACTGGCAGTGGCTCTTCTCCAGAAACAACAAAAATATAACCAGGGGCTTAATTGTTTTCATAGAAGATCTCAGTAACTTTTCATATCCCAATCAGAAAGTATTCTAGGAGAGGAGAAATTAAATATTGAACTAGGCAGACAAGACCTACTATGTGGACTCAGAGAAGTCATCTTAATTTGGAATTATTTTGCAATAGTTTTGAACTAAGGTTCCTTTCCTGCAACTGGATACCTGCAGATGGATCCCTGTACTCTCACAGGTGTCCATGAGATGCATGCAGATACAGGAGTGTGCCTGATCAAGGCTTGGGACCATACTACCTACTAATTTAAGAGCATCTCCAAAATGAACATATTATCTACCCCTGTCAACCAGGCTCACACTAAAGCTTAAAAAAAACCAAAACAAACAAACCTCACAATAACCTGAAACTGTAAAACAAATCACAAAATCCATACAAGAAGGGATAAAAATCTTTATAAAGAGAGGTAGTTAGCTGCATTATTCTGAAGTCAGGCAGAAGGCAGGGTAGATTTTCACTTTATAGGCTAACTAAATCCAAGATGTATTCCATGAACTTTCATTAGCTAGAGCTCACTTCATCAAACACTTCGTCAGAGCAGCACCTGATAAAATGAGCTTGAGCTCATGAAAGCTCATGCTATATATCTTGGATTTATAGAACTGAAGGTGCAAATCCATCCTGCCTTCTGCCAATCATTATGAAGTTCAGTATAAGGAAAGGCTGACAGCATACTGTACAATTTTTAACAGGTGCATACAACAGAATCAGGGTAGGTTTTTGGTCAGCAAATGAGAGATGCTGTTGCAGTTTTTAATACAAGTGAAGCTTATTGCTAGTTTTGTGCACAGGGAACACATTTTCTTTCCTTAATTTAAAGGCAAGCATTATATATCATTTCTCTTTAGTCACATTCAGTTCCTAAATGCAGCCAGGCAGCAACTGTCATGTTGTGGATGTTTCTGGTAGGGGAAAAAAAGAGCAAGTATTATTCAGTACTTAACAGTTTCTCCTCTGTGCCACCAGCAGTAAAGGGATTTGTCATAGAAGAAAAACTATGCGTATGTAATGTGAGGGAGGAAACTTTACCTGTCTCATGAGATCAGAACCTGCAAAGTTAGAATAAAGGAAGCACTGGCAACTTGTGTGTGTACACCAAAAAATAAACCTCATCCTAACTCTTTCCTGTTTGCCCTCAACCCCATTCAGGGATACAGCAAAACCAAGCTATCTGTTACATTGTTCAAAAGGAGTAGGAACACATGCACCCCCCTTCCCCAGACACTCTCTCATACCGACTACCTGAGACTTGCAATTGACAGAACGTGTGTTTGCCCCTTATCACCAACATCAGGGTATTACCAGGCAAAGTTACAGTATTACTGACAAGGCCAGAGCTTGAAAGGTGAGAATGAGAATCTGAGGAGTGAGGAGAGGAGAGACATCTGTGTTCCTCATCAACAGCAGGAGAGAATAATCCAAGCCCCACTCATCAGAGCCATATCTACACTAGAAACTTTTGCTAGTACAGCAGCATTTGTTATAGGGCTCATTTTCTTCTTCAGTGCTTTTATATTGGCAAGAACTCTAACGTAGATGCAGTCGCAGCAGCTGGCATAGCTTATTTTATTTTATGCCATTATAAACTATACCAGCGCAAACACTCTTTGGTCAGTATATGGTGCATCTTAACTAAGAGCTTCAACAACAATGGCAAAGTTTCTGTGGGTAAATTACAGTTACATCCTGTGGGAAATCTTTTGGGTAGGGCAATGCATTTTAGGTCTCGTCTAATATTGTTGTTGGTTCAAATCATAAGTGCTAAATTAGCTAACCCGGGCTGCCCAGGGCTTTGTTGCCAGCATAGATAAGTCATGCTGAGCATGCTGTCAGCTAGTCATGATTAAAGATGCCATCAGGCTAAACACAAGTGGTCCTTGCCTATACACAGATTGTAACATCACAGTTAGCAGCTGTGTCAGCTAACTCAGCTATAAGAAACTGAAAAAATACAGGATAAATGACACAATTATGTAGTGTGGGCAAGGACAAAAAGGACAACAGGGGAATTAGGACAATTAGGGGAAGGACAACAACAAACATGCTCAGGGACAGAGGGTGAGGGAAGTGTGTGGACCTCACTCACCAATAACTTAAAGATATAGCAATCAAGGTCTCTCTTCTGCTGGGGCACAGGTTGAAGGAAGTGTGGAGGAACAGAAAGAAGAGCATGCCAGAGGTGGAGAAGAGAACCATGGATATTTGGGAAACTAAGATGTGTGTATTGGATCCTATCACCCAGATCAACAACCTCAAGTGTCCAGCAGGATTAAGCAGTTACGCCGGCTTGTAAGGGATATGTAGAGGAAACAACGTGTCAGGGAAAAACGTGCATGTTCCCCACACAATTCTAGAGCAAGGGATCAGCAAGATTAAACAGTTGTACCCTTTGCACCCTGACCAGCTGGAGACAAGCAGGGATAACATGAAAACATACGTGCCTAAGAACTAGATAAAGGGGAGGGTGAATGTGTCTGAGTGGAGAGGAAGAAATGAATGAATCAGCAGGGCTAAGCAATGACTGTTGAGAGAGGAACCTACAGAGTGGAGGACAAGAGTAGGAACGTATCTGCCAGTCAGAGGGATGAGAAGGCATGCATATCTGCGGCACGGGAGCTGGGTATGACTTTTGGCTTTGGGGAACAGAGGACAGCTGTCTGTCTGTCTGTCTGTCTATCCAATTGTCTGCATCTACAGAATCACAGCAAAACAGGGCTGGAAGGGATTCTGCAAAGTCATCTAGTCCAACCCCCTGCTTAAAGCAGGATCATCTCCGTCTACACCACTCTAGAAAGATGCTTCCCTGACTAGCACTTACAGGCCTCCAGCACCAGGTTACACAGCTGCACTCCAGATACTATTCCAGAGCTGAGCCACAGGCCACCAGAAAGTTCTTCTTAATATCTAACCTAAATCTCCCTTGCTGCAATTTAAGCCCATTACTTCTTGGCCAGCCCTCGGTGGACAGATAAAAGGGGATGACAATCCATTCTTCTCTAACAACTCTTTGCTTTCGAAGGACGTTACCAGCTCCCCCTCAGTCTTCCCTTCTTCAGACTAAATAAGCCAGTCCTCCCAGCCTTTCCCCAGACATGTTTTTTAGTCCCTTAATGAGCTCATCACTCTCCTCCGGGCTCCCTTGACCTCGTCCCCATCCCTCTCAGAGCCTGGAGCTGGACGCGGCGCTGCAGGGGAGGCCTCACCTGTGATGTGCAGTGGGAAATCATGCACTGCACGACCTGCCCAGGCCACCCGTCAATACGTCCTAGGAAACTACTCACTGGTTTCCGCAACAATCTTACATCCAGGTTGCGATGCAACCCCGGCCTTCCCTGCAGCCAGCTCCTCGCCCGCCTCCGGTGCCGGGGGCTTCCTGGCGCACCAGTTTCCACGACTCTGAGGGGGCTGTGGGTGGCGCGAGGCGAGATGGGCACAGAGCAGGTCGGCCTGTTTCCGCGGACGTCTGGGGCAGGGGGGAGAAAGGCAGGAGTGCGCGTGGAGGAGTGGGCAGGGAGGCGTGCG